CAGGGGGAATATGGGAAGAAGAGTGATTCATATTATTGATAAATGACATTTTGTTGATGTTTGTCTTGTACTCAAAGGACAACTTGCAAAAATACCTATTTAAAGTGGAAAACCAACATTTATTGGCAAATGGACTCTGAATGGAAGAGGCATTGCCATGGAAATCCAATTAATGATGATTGACAGTTCACTGCCAGGCTTTGTTTAAATTTTACACCAGACAGGTTGACTCCAATTAGGGCATTGCCCTGAGGATTGAATCAGTGAATGGCTGTCTCCTATTTTGTGAAGTTGAAAGAGGTGCAGTTCTTGCACATGTTCTTTCTGTCTGCAGTAAACAGGGCCCTTTGTGTTACTATTTAGTTTCCACTATATGCAAGCGCATCCCACGATCAGCCTAAGGCAGCACTGTGGTTAGCACCACAGCCTCATTGCACCAGGGCGACTGTCTGTGCAGAGTTTGTACATTCTCCTTGTGTCTACCTGAGTTTCCTCCAGCTGCTCCAGTTTCCTCCCACAGTCCAAAGATGTGCAGCTTAGGTAGGTTGGCCATGCTAAACTGTCCTTATTTTCTAGGGGTATGTTGGTTTGGTGAATTAACCATGGGAAATGCAGGGTTACAGGGATAGGATAGGGTGTTGGGTCAGGATAAGATCCTCTTCAGAGGGTCAGTAGCTGAATGGTCTGTCCCCACTCCGTAGGGATTCTATGAACTAATAATCTTAAATACTAATGTTGAATACAAACAGTATTCAACAGAGAGCAAAAAACATTTAAAAGGAAATGTTTAAGTTCAGTTCTATTTGTAAAGATGATTCAAATTATTTTGTCCTCACTTATAGGATATGTTCCCGATACATACTCCTACTGAAGAGGTATATGCTCTTTAAATTTTTGGTTACTGAACAGAGACATTGAAGGCACTTATTAAGTGGGAAAATAATTAATTTAAATAAAGCGACACTTGCATGAGCAACTAACGTAATCCAGCACAGTAGCCATCCTGAAACAAGGAACATCACATCAATGACTTATTCATGATTGTTGGTTGAAGGAAGAATCTTGGCTATAACACCAGGAACTTGTCTTGCTCATCATTGTGTAGTGTTGAAATCCTAAACATTCACAAGCACTATCACGTAATGAAGACTGAACATTCCCCAACTTCTTTTCATTTTCTTTATTTTTGAAGGTATTAAACATCTAAGAGGTTTTCTACAAATGTTTTATTATAATTTTTTTCAGGATTTGCTGAAATAGACAATTAATATAAAACCATTTAAGAAATATAAACACAATTCCAATTTATACCATTATTTTTGGAGTGAAAGTTAATCTTCATAATATTAAAATATGAAATATGGTTCCTTATTGAATGGAAATCACCAATAATGTCCAAATATTTTGGATGCACTCGTACATACTGTTTCCAGTGCCCAAGTTCCAACTCTATTTCCACTCTCTACTTACAATCTGGAGCTTGTGATCACTGCAGTCAAGAGAATAAGCGGATTGATGCACTCTTGGCTTTAACCGATAGTGTTCCTCTGCCAGCTGATGGGAAAACAACAGTGACCAAGCAAATGGCCAGTCCTACCATCTATATAGTGACTCTTGGGCTTGATGTGGCAGTTCCCAACAATAGAAAGTGGAGATCCTGAAGTAATGACTGCATGGACCTTGGCTCCTTAGGTGAGAGAGGGTCAGGCAGATAAGACAATATTCCAAAGCACAAAGTAAGTATCTCAGTGGAGGAAAAAAAAATAAATTTTTACAAACTTTTAATACCAAAATTTACAAAAAAAGGTAGATTTGTTTAAAAAAATGATTTGCATTTTCCTCATTGCCCAGAAAGCATCAAATCCAGGTTCAGAACAATACTCACAAATCAGATACTTAAAAATATATTCCACAGTTGGGTGATTTGAACAAGCCATCAAAAAGAAACAGCTGGTCTTTGACATGTAAAGCATAACCATGTTTCATTTGCAATTGTAAACTCTCTGTCATTCAAATAATTTCAAGCAGGACAATCTCCAGTTTCGATATCTCTCTCCGGACTGACCGGTAGCACCAGATGGGAAATACGGCTCCACAGCCCGCTCAGTTTATCATTATCCATATGCTGTTTATCGGAGCAGAATTTCTTCTTGACAAAATCATGGACCATCTCCTCCAGGTCTTTGAGGGGCAAGTCCGGCTTCAATGTTGGCTCATCCAGTAAGACGGTGATCAAAAGAGAGACATCCTTGAATGCAGCATTTTCATGATCGCAGTACTTGTAGAACAGAAAGGTAGAAGAGGGTGGGAGATCCTGGAAGTGATGTATTATGGCAGCCTTCCTCCCTCCCGTGAACTCCGCAGTCAGTTGGTTGTCCAGCTCCAGCTTCACCGTATTACTATCCTGTAAGTTCTGCGCAGATCCATCGATTTCTAGTGCACTTGAATCAAAAACAGAAGAGTAAACTTCAGCTATCCTGCGAGTGAGGCATTGCATGGTTTTCTTTGCATCCTGAGCAGCAGTAAACATGAGAATAATGGGTTGAGTGGGCACTGCCTCACCCATATGTTTCTTCAATAGAATACTGCTTCGTTTCCACAATTCATCTTGCTGATGCGTGAATTTGGTCTTCATCTCTTGCCACTTGGCCAGGAAGAGCTCCTCTTTCAGCATTCGATGATCAGGCTTCTCAAATACCCAAAGATAAAATACACAGATGCTCAAGACCACAACCAATCCCAATGCTGGAAATATAACTTTCCAGGAGGAGGACTTGGATTCTAAGAAAAGATAAAATAGGCATAATCATTGTTTTTTACCCTGGAATAGCAGATTGCAGGGGTTTTAAGTAGATCAGAAACCACACTGGAGATCTCATGTACATTGCTTTCAGCTATATTATTTGCCCAGTCAGAACTAATTCTACTCAAGCCCACTCAATAATACTAAGGGGTTTTGATTTGGTGTGATCCATCATATTTACTGTATTAAAATATTCTGGCCACTTGCAATTTCCATCATTCCACCATTGGCAATTATGCCTCCAGCAGCGTCATCCCTTAGCTCTGAAACATTCGCCCCCACAACCCCTAAACCCCTGTCCATCATTGTCATCTTTTTAAGATGCTTATTAAAATACAAAGCACCCACCTTAATATTATTTCACATGACTCAAAGTAAAATGTTGTTTTGATATTATTCCTGTGAAGCTCCTTAGCATTTGTATTTGTTCATACAGGGAGAATGTAAAACATTGGCATGAGCAAAAAAACGAACAAGGTGCCTATCTGCCTAATCGTGGCATCTCTTTTAAAAAAAAAACACCACACAGTCCACCAGAAACTTAAGAATATAAGAAATTAGAGCAAAAGTAGATCACATAGTCCCTCAAGGGATGTCCAGGAATGTGTAGATTAGGTGGATTATAGAGGGATGAGTCTGGACGGAATGTCCGAAGTTCGGTGTAGACTTGTTGGGCCAAAGGGCCTGTTTCCACACTGTAGGGAATCTATGAAATCTAAGCATTCTCTAGCATTTAATATGATCATGGCTGATGATACCTTTCTTTCTCACTCCCCATATTTCTCAATTCCCCGAAAGATCAATAATCTGTCCATTCTAGCCATCAAAATATTCAATGATAAGCATCCACATCCCTCTGTAGTAGAGAATTCCAAATATTCAAAGTCTCTCAAAATAAATTTCTCCATATTTCAGATCTAAATGATCAATCCTTACCTTGGAGGTTGTGCCAGCTGAGCTGGATTCCCCAGCTATGGGAATCAATTTTTCAGTGTCTACTGTCAGGCCTCTTTTGAATCTTATACATTATTTGTGTTTGCTGACATTGGCTTCTGGTCAAACGATATATTGATTTTAAAATTCTCATCATGTATTTCCCAAACCTTTCTTGGCCTCACCCCTCCCTACCTCTTATCTCCACCTGGTCCCACAATCTTCCCGGATATCTGAACCACTAACTATGGACTCTTGAGGAAGCCCAGTTTTAATGTGCACATCATTGACCATATCCTAAGACCATAAGAACTAGTAGTGGAGTAGACCTTGAGGATCCATCAAGCCTGCTCTGCCACTTAACACGATTATGCTGATTTCTCCCCTCATCCCCTAATTCTCTAATTCCCTAAGAGGTTAAAAAGTCAGGCTTAAATATATTCAACTCTCTGGGTTAGTGAATTCCAAAAATGTGAAAAATATGCATCAAGAAATTTCTCATTTCGGTCTCTGAAGCCCTGGAGAATAACAAAGAACCTTTGAATATGCGCTCCAATCTATTTGAAATTAAAGGCAACTTTTCATCAGCCTTTCTAATTGCTTGCTGTACTTGCAGGTCAACTTTGAGATTCTTGTACATCCAGATCTCTCCAACCATCAACATTTCCAAGTTTCACACCTTTGTAAAAAAAAAAATACTGCTTTTCTATCTTAACAACCAAATTGAACAACCTCACACTTTCTCACATTATACTCAATTTCCATTCTGCTGTCCACGCTCCTAGTGCAACTGCTTCACTTTTCAGCCTCTGTTCTCCACACAACTATCTTTGTAAAATCAGGAAACTTAAACACAATACACTCCATTTTTGGCCAGATCATGAACATCATTATAAGTGGCTGAAACCCCAGAACTTTCCCGTGCAGCTGCTAGTCATAACTTGTCAACTTTAAACTACCCTATTTATCCCCAATCCTGGATTTTCTGACTGCTAACCAATCCTCTAACCACGATAATATTTCACTCTCAACTCCATGAGCCTTTGTCTTGTTGTTAACCTTTCATGTGGCGCCTTAGCAAATGACTTTTGGAAATCCACACAGGCTGCATTTACTGCCTCTCCTTTGCCTGCCTTATCTGCTACATGCTCGAGGGGCCAGATGGTCTATCTCCACTCTGAAAAAACAATTCTAAAAATTGTCAGACATGATTTTTCTTCTGTAAAACTAATCCCAGTATGACCTTATAAGTGTGATGCTCTACTTCAGTTCTCTGCCTCAATGATTATTTTCCAAGACATGGCCAAGTGCCAATTCACTTTAAATTATGAACATGGGATTGAAGGCAGGCCAGAGTCCACATCAGCTGGAATGGGGATTCAACCCCATGCTGGTGGTAATAATCTGATCCACGCTATGTGGCTACAGTCAATTGAGTTTACCAGCCCTGCAATTTCATTGTCCTTTAGGAACTCCTAAACAAAGTCCAAACATCCTCCCAATGAGAGAGGGTTAGTACAACTGGTCTGTGGTTCTCCGATTTGCTCTCCTCCTTTTCTTGAGCAGTAATATTACATTTGCTGGCTCCCAATCCACTATGACTAACCCAGAATCTATAGGATCAACTACTCTTAGGTTTTGAGAAGCCAAGACCCCAGCACTCCACTTGTTATACCTGTCAACTAAAAATATCCCACTTATCCCTGTCTACCAATTGATCTTTCATCTAAACTATATTATTGCCAATACCATCTTGCATTCAACCCTCCTGTGTGGCATGTTATATTCTTGATTTAGCAAGTATTGGGTGGAGGAGTAGAATGGTGGGAGTGGCAGAGAAAACCAGCCGATGGACGAACTTTTCCACTATAGCTTCCACACCTGCTTGGGGATTTGGCTGTTCGCTGGTTTGCAATGCAAAACGATGCCAACAGCATGGGTTCAATTCCTGTATTAGTCGAGGTTACCATGAAGTTACCTCTTATCATCTTTTCCCCTCACCTGATATGTGGTGACCCTCAGGTTAAAATACTACTAGTTGTATCTTTCTGGTCAGCGATATCTGTTAGTTATTGGGCGAGTACAAATTAATGCTTCCCCTGCTCCATTCCTACAATATGTCCAATTGCTTCAAACTCAGGGGTGCTTCCCTTTTACCTTTCATAACAGACATCCTTCGGCCTCTCTGACAGAGTACAGATTGCCCTGGGTACCTGCACGCACTGGAACCAATGGTAAGTGCAACCAAAAATCCTTGAGCTTCTTTTGAGTTCAGTAACAATTAAGTTAATATTTAAAATCTCCATCCCTGTCTTACATTCAAGAGTTAATATTTTGTTCTGTAAGGGATATCCAACTCAACTTCCCTTTGTCCATTGATAGTCTGATTCCATAATCTACAGAAGAGTTGACAATCTTCGAACTAATCAATCAGTATATCTCCAAAAATAACATGATACACAATCCTTCCACCCAAAGCCTATTCTAACAGTATACTGTGTCCTTTAACATTACAAAACAACATTTCTATTTCCTCAGCAGTTGTTTTTAAGTTTTTTTTAAAAAAACGTCTAAATACAGATTTTACGAAGGTTCTTACCAAATTTATAAAAGCATGATTTTTAAACATGGTCTGTAGCTACCTGAGTGACACAATAATTTTATGTGCAATAGATTGCCCATTCATCTTCTGTTCATTCTCCTGGAGTACTGAGGATTGAATGATGCAAGGAATTTGAGCACTAACTCATCCCCCATCAATTCTAGAAACTAAGGAGCGAGACCAGACTATGGCATGCCTCCCCTAACTGTTGACATTAAGGGCGCTCTGTGAAATGTGATTTATTGGTCATTGATAAAGTGAACATAGGGAATCCATGCTTTGGCTACAGCCCAAGAACATCAAAAGTGGCACCAAAGAAAAGCCCTATTGTAAAGAAGCCGAAACTAGCTCTCCAAGAGTTTGTTACAACATACCTTTTGCAGTTGGCCTGATGAACTGTGCAGCTTGTGCAGAATCTGTGTAGTATTGGGGTTTCCTGTACTTGGTGGGCTGGTAAGTATCAGCTATGGGAAGGAAAGAACATTTCAAATATATATTCAATAACAAGAAGGGTTGCTTTTTACTTTGCATGTTTCCAGTCAGAAACCTCATTTGCCGCTCCTCTGAGAGGACTGCATGAAAGACTCGTAACTATTTCAATACATGGCAGTTCTGTATCATGGACCTTGCCTGGTTTACAAATGGCTAAAATACAGAACAGCCACTCTTACATTATACAGTCATGATATTTGGTATGTAGATGATACCAAATATATCTGCACTAACTATAGTTAGTGAATGGAGTGAATGGAGTAATGTTATTACAATTTAATTCAAATATTAGTTCTCATTTACACCCCATTTTAATGCAATCTATAGCACTCCTTTGCTATTCCTATTACCAGTAAACATGGAGTTTAATCAATATATATCCATGGAGGAAGAAACATATTCACCAAGATGCAAGGTTCAGGCTCAATGCTCTGCTCCCCATGCAGTAAATCACTAATTAGCCTTGATTTTTCTGCAACATATGCAGGAGATTTGCACTGATTTGTTTTCAGTAGAAGACCAGAGTACCCACTAATATTGTGACTCAGGTCATACAGTCAGAGAGAGTTATAGAGGTATAAGCATGGAAACAGACCCTTCAGTCCAACTCGTCCATGCTGACTGGATATCCTAAATAAATCTAGTCCCATTTGCCAGCATTTGGCCTATATTCCTCTAAGCCTTTCCTATTCATATACCCATCCAAATGCCTTTTAAATGTTGTTATTGTACCAGCCTTCACCATTTTCTCTGGCAGCTCATTCCATACACGCACCACCCCCTGCCTCTTAGTTCCCTTTTAAAGTTTTCTCCTCTCACCTTAACCTATGCTGTCTAGGGTTGGATTCCACTACCCTGGGTAAAGACCTTGGCTATTCATCCTATCTACACCTCTCATGATTTTAAAAACTTCTATAACGTCACCCCTCAACCTCCAACACTCTAGGGAAAATAGCCCCAGCCCATTCAGCCTCTCCCTACAGCGCAAACCCTCTAACCCTGGCAAGATCCTTGTAAATTTTTTTCTGAACCCTTTCAATTTTCACAACATCCTTCCTAAAGCAGGAAGACCAGAACTGCATGCAGTTTTCCAATAGTGGCACATAAACTGATGGCAAATCTCATTTCCACTTTTCTCCGAATCTTCCTGAAGATACTGGATTTTCAGTGGAGCACATTTTCTGCAACCATACTCAAGTTGAATTGTTTGCAACTGAATCTTGATAACAGCTATCTTTTTTCTTAAAAACCCCAAAGGAGCATCTCAGTTTTCATCTGAGATCCACATGTGTATACCCTCTAGAGATTACTGCATTGTGTTCAACAACCAGGGTGCCCATCACTAGCCCAAGGCTAATTTCATCTCTATGATTAAGGTGCTCCAAAGAAGTGTCGTACTGGAATCGAAACGTTGATTCTTTTTCTTTCTCCAAAGATGCTGCCAGACTGTGGAGCTTCCTCCAGCACATTTTAGGTTTTTATTTCATATTTCAAGCATCTGCAATTATTTGTTTCTACAATCTATGACAATCCTTTGACAGAGATCAGATGTCTCTAGCTCAGCTTATCATTGTATCAATTTGTTGAGTTGTCAAGTGTATCATAGAATAGTTAGAAAGTGTAGGGGAGGCAATTTGGCATGTTGTTTAGATGGCAGCACTCTGCAAGGGTAACTCATCTAATGTCACCCTTAAGTACTTGCCCAATTCAGTCCTTTAAACCTACTCTGCAATTACACCAGATCATGGTTGAGACATGCAGGAAGACCATGCTTCACAATCAGATTTTAGTTCAGAAGAACAGCTGGGAATAAGTCTTAAAACTCTTTCAGCAGTTTAAGGTTTCTCCTTAAATTCAGTTAGGAAGAGTCAGCAAAGTAGCCAGCAATTATGTATCTCAGAGAGACAGTAACAGAGAAAAATCATTGCAACCTCATTAGTTAAGTAAGAAATTAACAGATAAAACAGGAAATTAAGGAATGAAAGATTCTTTAAAATTAAAGGATTCACCAAGGGTAAGTGTCTGTAAAGGATATTCTTGGGAAAAAAGGTGGCATTTTTCTTTCTGCCATTTATGTTAAGTTGAACTGGAGCAGGTTGATTGGAAGTGCATTTTGTTGGATAAAACTGGATGAAAAATTGGTAGAATTTCAAAAGAGATGTATGGAGTGCAAGTTAGGCACATAACTATGAGAAATAAATATGGATATCCAAAGCTAGAGTAGCCTGGATAACTAAAGGATATTGATGAGAATATAAAAGGGAGAAAAAAAAAAAGGAGGCATATGATGTATTCCAGAATAATAAGAGCAATAGAAATCAGGAAGGGTATCTCAAATGCAGGAGAGAGGCTAAAAGCTGGAATAAGGAAGACTAAGAGAAAGCATGAGGAATGGATGGCAGGCCATGATAAAACAAATTGTAAAACGTTCCTCAAACATATTAATAGTAATATTAGTGAAGGATAGAATGGGACCCATAAAGGAACAAGTAGGGTAAGCAACTCACTGAAGCAAAAAGGTATGGCAGAAGTACTAAATGAGTAAGTACTTTGCTTCTGCCTGTAGTAAATTACAAAATGGTGAGAATGGCAGAGTTGAAAATGTGGGTGTTGAGCAATTGAGCAGTACAGCGACAGATTTTAAAAACAAAAAAAAAAGGTGCTGAAAATTGCTGGCAGCACTCTAGGTAAAGAAGTCACCAAGCCTGGGTGGGATTATCCTAGGTTGTTGAGAGAGGTAAGGGAGCAAATTGCAGAGCTGTTGCCAGAGATTTTCCAAGCCTTCCAAGACAGAAGATTAGTCTTGGGGGACTAGAGGACTGCAAATATGATTCAATTGTTTAAAAAAAAAAAAAAAAAAGACGCAAATCAGAGGCAAAGGATAACCCAGGAAACTACAGACCTATCAGCTGTATAGTGAGAGAACTGATAGAGGCCAGGGAATAAAAAGGGACATATACACTTACTTTTCTTGAAGTTGATACTAGACAGTCAACATAGCTTTGTCAAGGACGGGTCACATCTGACAAATTTAATTGAGCTCTCTGACAAGGTGACACAGGCAGTGGATGAAAGTAATGCTGTGGAAGTTGTATATTTGGACTTTCAGAAAGCATTTGATACGGTGCCACATGGCAGATTGATTAGAAAATGGGAAATTTTTGAGATTGATGGGTCCTTCGCAGCATGATTAGAAGTTGTTTAAAAGACAGGAAAGAGAGAGTGGGTATAGGTGGTCATTTCTCAGATTCAAGAGGAGTTGAAACTGGTGTTCGCTAGGGATCAGTGTTGGGACCCTTGCATTTTCTGATTTATAAAAATGATTGAGATAAGTGTTGAAGGCAAAAATCTCAATTTGAAGTTGACATTAAGCTATGGATAATAGTGAATTGTGAGGATGACACTGAGCAATTTCAAAGCGACATTGACAAGTTGACCAAATCGGCAGGCACCTGGCAGGTGAATTTCAATTCATAGAAATGTGAGGTAATACATTTTGGTAAAAGAAACATGGAGAGACAATACAGTCTCAATAATATAACTTTGCAGAGAGTACAGGAGCAGAGGGACCTTGGGGTTCACGTGCATAATTCTCTGAAGGTGGCTATGCAAGTTAAAACAGTTGTTGAGGCAGCTTAGAGGATCCTTGGGTTTATAAACAGAGGCATAGAGTATAAAAGCAAGAAAGTGAAACTACATCTCTACAAACATTGGTCAGAACACATTTGGAGGATTGTATTCAGTTCTGGACATTTTATTTAAGGATATTGAAGTCCTGGAGAAAGTGCAATGGAGATTCATTAGAATGATACCATAAATGAGGGATTTTAGATATAAAGACAGATTAGAGAAAGTGGGCTTATTTTCCTTTGAGCAGATAAGATTAAGAGGTGACTTTATAGAGATGTTCAAAATTATGAACAATTTTGACAGGGTAAAGAAAGATATTCTATTTCCACTAGTTGGAATTCAGAAACTTAGGGGCACAATTTCAATATTAGAAAGACAGCGAAGATTGAGAGGAGGAGAAACTTTCTTTATTCAGAGTTGTCAGGATTTGGAATGCGTGGTTTGGGTCAGTGGTAAAGGTGGATTCCATAGGAGGCTTCAAAGGCAAGCTGCATATCTATCAGAGAGTGACAATTTAGAGGGCTATGGAGATATGGCTGCAGAATGGGACTAGCTGCGCAGCTCTTCTGGGACCTGGTACAGATGCAATGGGTCAGAATGGCCTCCTTCTGTACAGTAAAATTCTATGATTTTACCCAAGATTTTTGAACAAAGAAATTAAAAAATGATGGAAAACTAGCTACAAATGTAAATAAAAAGCAAAAGTTTGTTCAGGCACTAAAAAGGAATAGTGCACGTAAAGTGAGTATTGGTCCTCCAGAGAGTAAGAATGGAAAGTTAACAGTAGTAGATGAGGAAATGGTGGCTTACATTAACAAGTATTTTATGTCATCATTATAGAGGATACAACAAAAATTCCACCAAAAGGTGGAATGGAGAGAAGAACTTAATGCAATTACAATCATCAAGAAGTGCTACAAAGCAAACTGATGGAGCTGTGGTCAGACAAGTTTTCGGGTAGAGATGGATTTCGTCCTAGGGATTTAAAATAGGTTGCTAATGACGTAGTGGATGCTTTGGTGTTAATTTTCCAAATTCCCTCAATTTAGGAAAGATTCCATCAGACTGGAAAGTGCAAACTGAACCCCTCTCCTCACAAGGAAACAGCAGTTAACAGGAAACCACTGGACATTTACCTTCTTGTCCATCGTAGGGAAGGTATTAGAATTAATCTTTAAAATGGTTACACCTATGAACTTATAAAAACTGAGTTATCAAGAAGAGTCAGCATGATTTTGTGAAGAAAAATCATGTCTAATATAAATCGGTTAAACCTCTTTGAAGGAGTAACATGTGCCATGGGTAAAGAGGAGGCAGTATACAGACTGTATTTGGATTTCAA